TTCCCAAATCACCCATTCCCATCCAAACCCGGAACCGCCCGAGAATATATCAACCATCCAGACCATACCAATACTACGAATTTTCTTCAAATAACCCTACCTTTATTTCCCCAATATACACTAAATCAATCCGACCCTAACCCTGAACCACGTCACTTTGTAGATGAACATGTATTAATACCCACACTTCATTGGACAGCTTACTATAATTTCACTAACCCCCTTACGTTATCACTCTATAACACCACTATCGATATTGAAAGAAACAAGGACGAATTATTCAGATTAACCACAGCACTCACTCCCCGACAATTTACATACGTAGGATATAAAAAATTACTAAAAACATTCACTGCACCCGCGCTAACGACTACTCAATTGAATATTACGATCATAACATCATCAGATCTAATCAAGACCAATTTCTTGACGACGAGAAATTCGCTAATCCACAAATCACAGAAAAGTTTTTTATTAAATCATCATACATATTCACACTTAACATACTCGATAAAAAGCATGATCACATTATTTCAGAAGCACTATCAGACATTCAAGCGTATAAACGCTTGAATGTCTGATAGTGCTTCTGAAATAATGTGATCATGCTTTTTATCGAGTATGTTAAGTGTGAATATGTATGATGATTTAATAAAAAACTTTTCTGTGATTTGTGGATTAGCGAATTTCTCGTCGTCAAGAAATTGGTCTTGATTAGATCTGATGATGTTATGATCGTAATATTCAATTGAGTAGTCGTTAGCGCGGGTGCAGTGAATGTTTTTAGTAATTTCAAACATTTTCCCTATTCTTTCACTTTCTGACACCAAAAGAACGCGATTTGCACTGCTCACACGACATCATGTTGAGAACTAAGCAAACACATACTTATACTTATTATCGTTTTATCCAAAATCATTTTCATTTACACACACCATCACGACAACCTCACCATAGATTTCAATCCATTAATTCCAAATACAGCTCACCATTTTTTCTAACCTTCACGTATTGCATTAAAAATACTAACTTCCAAGGCATCCTCCGGAATTATGATCCAGTCACCCAAATGTATATATGTTGTCACCTCACGAAGGCCTTCAACGACGAAGAATCCCGACCCCTGGTCATTCCGCATGAATATATTCAACCCATAGAAGTACCCATTTTAGAATTCATCCACAACACAAGTACAATCACAAAATTTACAATCTAATCCAGAACACACCTCATGAATTTGCTAATTTGCGAATTTCCTAACCAACGCAGCTTACTAAACACCATAAACCATAAACTAACAGCATGACTAAGAAAAGAAAACCCACGGTACCCAAGCTGGATTAAACCAGCTTAAAACTGGATAATATATTCTTTTGAAGACTATTACCAAGTCTAAAAAAGAAACAATAAAACACCAAAAAGTTGCAAGACAAACCCAAACCAAAAACAATTTGATTTTTGAGAAAAGGACACAACCAGCGAAACAAAAGTAAAACAAAAAAAATATAACAAAAACGTTAACACAAAACAGGACCGCTTAAAAAACCAGCACGAAATCATACTCCCCTTCCTGGCCCACCAGAGAGGACGTCCTGAGCATGCTCTATAGCCGGCCTAACCCACCGTGCTACATCCACGCTTTATGACCACATCACTATTTTTGACAAGAGGTACTCAAGTGTGAGTAACTCTTAAAAATAACTGAACTAAAACTAAAACGCTTTTGCGAAAACAATTAATCAAAATCATAACTAAAAATAGAATTAACAAAATTTTGTAAAATGTAAATTATAATATGCAGTACATAGATCACGAACAACTACAAAAACGAGCCCCCTCACATTCAACCTACAGAATGGCTAAATACAACTGACATGCCGCTCACAATCACGACTCATAAAGGATTTAGAGTACGACTTGACTTCGCAGAAAAGGACTTCATTGAATCAGACCAATGACCACCTCGATGTTCAAGTATACGTACAGATCCGAGTTACAAGGCATCCCCTCCAAACACGATCTTCACGCCATTCCCAAACCAGATCGAAACACAGTTCTCCACAACCAATAAGAACAGACGATCATAGCAAACCATCTTGAAATCAGTTTGATTTCTTTGACAGTCAAAGTCTTTGTCAAACGATAACTAACAACTTCCTATCGATGACTCCAGCTTCCGGGAGCTTTCTTCTCCAAGAACGAAACAGGAAATGATGCTCGCCAAATTACAGATAGAAGATCTAAGATTCAAAACTCTGTAAACCCCGGATGGGTGGAACCAGATATAAACTATATTCATTATTGGTTATAAATTGGATATTTTATCTCAAAAAAATATTTAATATTAACCAATCACGATCCATCTAAATAACAAACCACTTATTAAATTACTTACTACTTGTAATTTCAGCACCAGAGAAATTTGAATTTAACTTAAAAATTAGTTACCTCTCCAAGAGAACTTTAGCAATCGCAATAAGCCAGTATACTCTAGATCTATTGAGCCTAGCAGAGACTAGTTAAACACCCTGAGACTAGTAGATATAAGAGTAAGATTAGGATCGGTATTAGACTAAGAAGTTGCACGAATCTATCCGGCCGAAAATAAGATAGCGTGACGAGCAGACGGTGTACCCTATCCGAAATTAATCTATGAGTTACACATCGAACCTAACTCACGAATGTAAGCGCACCAAAACAAAGCGAAGCAAGTTGTTGATACTTGCCAATGCCGAGTTCAACCTAAGTTTCGAACTTTGTTGTGACTTTCGAGTATACTTGCAGCAGTTTTTTTTTGTTCAGTCAACATTCCAATTTTAAACTAGACGTTTTTCATAGAAATAGTTTGTACAATCTGAAAAAAGTGTTGTTCGGATTTCAAATGTAAAAAAAAAAATTACATGTGGTTCTTTTCGTAAAGAAACGGGATTTGAAAATGGATAGTTTAGTCAATTGGGAATAATTTACGCGCGATCTACTGCGTTCTTATGGCACCCATAAGCAGCGGATTACAGGGCAAGTGACCTAGTCTTAAATTTAGAATACCAGACGCTAAATACTTTCCTATGTGCTGAGCATAGCGTGTCAGGAGTTTTTTCTTTTTTATCTATTATTTTATCAATTTTTCAATCAAAAACTTTTTAATTGGCCTTAAAGTGCAATCGCAACATTCAGGGCTTTGCAGTGATATACGAGCAGTCAAGTGCAATTATTTTGAAATATTTAACATCTGACAAAATTTTGGATCTTTCCCATTATAATTTCCCAGTAAGTTATGGACCCACAATAAAACAAAAATTACTGTTGGGGGAGGGGGGATTTGTTGTTACTAGCTGAGAAGCTCTGATTAGAAAGACCCGAAATTTCAACGCCAGTTAAGTTTTTACATTGTAAACTCAATTCAGAAACTATGTGTCAAGATTTAAAAAAATGATTTGACTACACTTAATTGCTTTTTGTGATGTTGCTTCTACTAACGGTATAAGTAATGTCACAGTAAGCTAAACGACACCATGCAATTCCAACAAATTCACCCGCCGTCATCTCTCCGAGTTGCTCAGAATATTTGTTTTTTTTTTTGCTATATTATGATTAGATGCGACCACGTGAAATGAATACTTCGTCTTTTTTCTACACAGTCAACACAGTCTGACAATCTCAGAGTGAATGTTTAATGGCCATGTTAAGTATAAATGTGACAAAATGTGTTCTAAAAATTAGAAAATTAGAAAATTACAAGGATATCAGTCATAGTTAGATGGCGATCAAAGTTTTAAATGCTCAGATGTTTTAATACTTTGAAATTTAGATTTGGGACGACATTTTATTGCTTACTTCAAGTTTTGCCTATACCTGTTTTTATATTACTTCAAGATTTTGTTTACTTTTTTTTGATATTACCTTAAGATTATCCTACACTTTAAAATAATACGGTACTTCACCATCAAGATCACTCAATTGCTCATTTTTTCTGTATCTAAACTCAAAATAGCTTTTCTTTTTGTCTGTTGGCATTGACTTAATAATAATAAAATAATAATCATATTAATAATAGTAATAATAATCATAATAATCATAATAATAATAATAATAATCATAATAATCATAATAATAATAATCATCATAAATTGTTTTAAAACGAATTGTATACACAAAATTAAGTTCAATAGTTTATTATTAATTTAGGTTTGAGAGGGCATCCTATAGATTTCAAACGAAGTGTGCCGAGGGATTCCTCAAAATGCAAAACTTTTATAAAGTAAATCTAAATTCTTATAATTAAAACACTAGTTTTTTAAAATAATTTTGGAAGTTTTATCTTAAAAAAGAAAGACACGTGCTTCGAGAAAACAACACTACAATTAGCCTAATAATCCTAGTTTAAATTTATCAGAAAAAAAAACCGAACAATTCACAATACAAATGTTAAGAAAGTTATGATAAAAATGGTCCAAACTGCCCTTTGAGAGATAAAATCCGGTTAGTTTTTGAAAATGAAATTCAGTTGCTTAAGGATAGACCTAATTCTCAAACTTAAAGATTGATCAAACATCAATGCGTTTCGCCTTGAGCTTTACTTTTGTGAACAAGTCCGACTAGCAGGCTTTGTGAGCAGGCTTTTCGAGATCTTCTTTGTTCATAAAAAGTTTTATTGCATTTCTTATTTTATCGCCACATAATATTCAGCTTGAGAGCTTCAAAATTTCATATCGATGAAAATTGTTTATTGAAAATAATTGCTGTTGAATAATGATTTTTTTATTGACTGAAATTTTTTCCTATGAAACATTACCCGAACTAATCTACGACGTGTTTTTTCTAATTCATTTACTTTAGTCTTACTAGCTCCTCCGTAAAGCAGAACACCATTATGAATTATTGGTTGGACGCAACTTTTGTATGCTCTCAGAAGTTGTTTGGAAATTAAGGTTTTTCCTTGATTTTTGAAAATTCCGGCAACAACACTCAAAAAAAGACAGCTTTAGAAAAAATTGGTTCGAAATTATTAACCATCCATTCGACGTCAAAAAAATACTATAATTTGCGGGTGAAATAATATTAGAAATTGTTGTCCAGTTTCACCAAAATTCAGTATGAATTTATTAACTGAAGTTGAAAGCGTTATTTAGTGATGATATAACTGATGGAATGAGAGCGACTAGGGCGAGTGAGAGGGGGAGGGTGGATTGCTTGAGCAGAAGGGAGTAGGAGTCGGATGCAATTCGGCAGACGTCTTCGAAGCCCTGCACTCGAGTTCTGTCGTAAGGTATCCTCCAATTTGTACCGGGACAGAATTTCTTCACGGTCGATTTGTAACAAGATCTCTGGTTGCGATAGCCTCTGAAACAATCAAATCTGATTTTCGACTAAGTATTTAGAATTTAGAGCAACAGGTATCCCAGCCAGCCAATTGCTGTGCAAAAAGCACAAATAGTTCCGTCCGCCTCTAGCTTTGCTTGAGCTTTTTCGAAACTTTGCTTGATTTTTTTTAAATGCGAACAAAAAAATATTTGTTAGGACAAGGATAGGGTTCGTTTTTTCAAAGTGTCTATTTATCAATCGAGTATCAACTTAAAGGGCTTCAATGTGGTATGACATTATAGAATGTGCGAAACGTGGATGTGATAACCGTTAGTTTGCATAGATTATTTTCTACATACAATGGTTAGTCAGAAAGCAGTTTGCGTAGATTATTTCTCGCATTCAGTCGTTAATAAAAAAGATAAGCTGAGTAACTTGCATGTAAAAAAGATTTTGTAAAATCTCTTTCTAGAAAAAGTATAAAAAAAAATCTTCAAATTGCTTCTTATTGTCTGATTGGTTCTTCTTTTTTTGCTCAGTTAAAAGTTGATGGCGTGAAGTTTCCGAAGTTATCAAAACCCTCAAATACACTTGAAAAAAAACTTTTTTTTTAAATTAAACTTTCTCAAATAAACTTAAAAATGATGCATTCTCTCAGCTCGACTTTTGGCCAATTTTTGGTCGGTAATCAAAAACTGATTTTTCCCCGAAGATCCTGGCATTAAAAAAACATGATAATCTAAGTTATATAATTTTCTTTCAAAAATTTAGATAGAAAATTGCGTACACGCAGAAGTTCTTCAGGTAGTCGTCTAGTGCCAGGTCTGGTAGTCCCACCACTGAATTGTTGCAGGAGAACATGGAGTCTCTGAAGGGCTCGTAGTCGGGACACAGATGTCTGTTCACGCCCAGAGCATCGTAGAAGCCCTGTTTAGTGTCTACGCTCAGGCCGCTGCCTCCCGTGTACTCGTCCTAGAATCATTAGGACAAAAATTTTACAAAAAAAAACATAATAGTTAGTAAGTTTCACCATTAGTTATTATCATTACTGAAGATAAAAAGTTTGCTAGTATATCGGGGCAAGACGGGGCGTTAACTGGTTCGAGATAAACTATACATTTTGAACTGTCAATATATCGAAAACAAGACTGCTCGCATCAGGGCGAAGCCTTTAATGTTCCGACTGCATTTTAAGGTCTATGGAAGAATTTGTCGTTTTATAAAAAGAGGAATCTTTCTTAAATACTAATATTGACAAATTAGTCAATTTTTTTTAAATCATCCCCCACCCGCTATGTAAAGTACAAAGTAAAATATTTTGCAGATATTAAAGTATTAAAAATACCAAGTAGCATGCTTCAGTTCACTTTGGAACAATTTCTAAGACGGATAAAATCTCCGCTTACCCTTTAATAGCACGATATATATCGCGCGTTAATTGCCTCAAATTGGCCAAATTTGCAATCTTTAAACCCGATTTTACGAAAAATAATCACCATTGATTTTTTTGAAATTTGAGCACAAGGCAACAATCCCTTTCGAATGACATAAGAATGACCGTAAAAAAAGGCTAGTTAGAAAGTCGCAATTTGTGTGCTTGAAAAAATCACCCTGAGCACAAGTATCCCGTCACTTTCTTTGAAAGTCGGAACAATAAATGGCTGGCTGAAATATCAGTGATATATGGAATTAATAAGACAGTTTAGCTTGCCTTAGTTCAATTTGAACCATTATGAATATGGGATAGTTCGCCACGCATTGAACACTAGCGAATTAAATGCTTTAAGTATTAACAGAGCTGGAGCCAGCCACACTTAATCTAGTGCGAGCACATCCACTGGATAATTTAATGTTTGAAGACTTCATCCCCATGCTTTCAGCTTTCTGTGATATTGGCCTGAAGTAAAAAAAAAATAGGCCTAGCATATATTTTCCTCACATTCTGCCAAAGTCGAAACAGCTACCATTTGTTTTTTGCTTCTGATGCTTCTGAATGAATTTTTTGTAATTTTTTGTCCAATTTTTTCATAATTTTTCAAAGTAAAACTTCGTGAAAAATGTTATGAGCGTAACTAATTAAAGTCAAGTTGAAAACCAACTGAGAAAATTTCTGCGTTTAATTTCAACATTTTTGATTATATATATGTGTGTTTTTATTGGTTTTTTAATCTTCAGATTTTTATGATTATTTTTCAACAGATTTTTTCAATTTCTTTCAACTGATTTCAACTAATTCGAATTTCTTCTTTTCGATTTCATTTTGTTGACAAGAGCGAGATTTCTGGGAAAGCAACTGGGGAAATTATTGTTGATGCAAGTTGAACGACCGTTCATGCGTATTGATTGATTTTTGATGCCTTGATCGGAGCATGCCGAAATTAAAATGCAGCTGGCAAAATTAAACTTCAGGAAATGCAATGATAACAAGACTCGTCGTATCAGAGCGAAGCCCTGACTGTTCCGATCCGACTGCCTTTTAAGATATATAAAGCAGTAATAACATGAAAAAATTACATGTAGTAAAAAATATAAATATATAATTTTTATATTTGTTTTTTTTTTGTGAAATTCATCCCAGCACACGCAATATAAAGTTCAATGTGATAGATGTCGCTTGTAGTAACACATCAATTATGGCAAATAAGCTTCCTTTAACCAATTTGGAAGGAATTGTCCCTGATTGGCCAAAATGGCAATCTTTAAACCCCCATAATTCTGCGAAAATTCATCACAGGTGAAAAATCTTTTCAAGTTAAAGCTCAGGACAACAATACCTTTTGAATGATAGAAACATTCCCTCAAAAGTGGCTAGTTAAAAAGTCGAATTTCGTTTGAAAAAAAAAAACCCTTCCCGAGAAAGAATATTCCTTTATTTTTGTTACCAAAGTCGGAAATTGATCGAAAAATCAAAATTCTTTTCTTGCAATGAAAAGTCAGGATACAATTTTTTGAAATTCACGATACATTTGCTTAAATTAACAATCAAGTATACTGAAACTAAACACAAAAACATAACAAGACTGCTCATATCAAGGCGGAGCCCTGAATGTTCTGACTGCATTTTAAGGTCCATAAAGCAGTATAGCCTAAAACAATTTAAATGTAATAAAAATAAAATGAATTTTTTTTTAATTTTGAGATTTTTTGTGAGAATTATCCCCCCACACGCCATATAAAGTACAAAGTGAGAAGCTTCGCTCCTAGTAACTGATCAATTATGGTAAAAAAAACTTCCTCCAACAAAATTGAAACAAGACTGCTCGTATCAGGGCGAAGCCCTGAATGTTCCGACTGCCTTTTAAGGTTTATAGAGCGGTAGTAACATAAAAAAAATTAAATGTAATGAAATAAAATGAAAATTTTTTTAACAAAGTTTGAAATTTTTTGATGAAATTATCCCCCCCACACGCCATATAACGAACTAATGAATAAATTTTGCACCTTGTATCAAATCAATTATGGCTAATAAACTTCTTTCAACCAAGTTAGAACAATTTCTAAGACAAATTAAATCTCCGCTTACGCGCTAATAGCGCGAAATATATCGCGCGTCAATTGTCCCAAATTGGGCAAAATGGCAATCTTTAAACCCCCATAACTTTACGAAAAATGATCACAGGTGAAATATCTTTTCAAATTTAAGCTCAGGACAACAATAACTTTTGAATAATTTTCAAAAATTTCGTCACAAATGGCTCGTTAAAAAGTCGAAATTGGTCTGAAGAAAAAAAAACACCCCGAGCACAAATGTTTCGTTACTTTTGTTACGAAAGTCAGAACAAAAAGGTATAATGCTGATAAATCCAACATAACAACTCAATTTTATCTGCAAAAATTGGTAACTTTGAAGTTCTTACGATTGGACTCGTTCTTCAAAAGCCTGTGCTAATATCAAGATTGAAAAGTTGCGGGCAAATTTTTTTTAAAAGGTCTGCTCAGTTGTGTTAAGTTAAATCCGAAAATACATTTAAAGAGAAACTTTCATACTTCAGATCAATTGCGCAATTTTTAAGAAAGGTCATCCAAAAGAGCAAAAAGTATATAATTTAAAAAACGTCAGATCAACATTTTAGGTTAACAAAAATTATCCCGACTAAAGCCGTTTGGGGGCGGGGATGGGAATGATAGTTCTAAGTTAGGAATTTTCAGCCAATCAGAATCGAGCAATTTACATGTAGCGCTTAGCAAATTTAATGCGAATGGGGGGGGGGGGGGGTGAGAATAACTTGATCCATTATCCTAGAGAAAAAGTCATGCCTTAGGCTCTTATTTATCTAATTCAAAATCCCAAAAAAAACATCGTAGTTTTAAAGTTTTTTACACCATTTGGTTGAAATTGTCTGACCTTGAATAGTTTCTGGGACTCCCTGTGGCATATGGGGTAGAAGACTTGACTCATGGACAGCAGCTGTTGATTCAGAGCTGTGGAGTCCATCTGTTTACACACAGAGTCACTCTGCATCAGAGTCTTGTTCTGGAAGTAGGACTGGAACATGTTGTTCAGCTCCCTAGACCAGACAACCAACCAGAACATTAACTGGTAGAGCCACCATCACTTTATCTTACTCAAGAGAGAAATTGTCTGATAGAGAAACTGTCATCATAGGAAGTGTTCAGCTGACAAAATTTTTCTTCTTTTTTCTTTCATCTCGGATGTATTTTAATGAAATAATTTAAGTAAAGCGTGCAAATAACATTGAAAAAAGAGTCAGCTCTAGAATTTTTTCGAGGCTAAGGAAAGATAATATTTTTTAGGTCGAGCGTTTTATGCTCAGATTCAAATAAATACGCCCCTAATAGACCAAACTGATTTTCTGAGCTCTCTTAAAACACCATAAAGACACTATTTGGACAAAAATGTCTGAGCTGCAGACCAACCTTTAGAAAAGAAACAGGCGAAAAAGGCCGTTTTTGGGCATTTCTTGGAGGGTTTTGATTAAAAAAAAAATGCGTTTTTTCGGCGCGCGCTCCCAAACCAAACTAATATAAATCGGCGTCAAATGCGCCTTTTGTGAAATTTTAGGATCAGTCGGCCAAAAAGACAAGTCGTTTAACTTTTAAAAGTACCAAACGGGAGACCTTTTGGGCGGCGAAGGGGGAGGAAAGAAAGCCCCCCCCCCCCACTAAATACGCCCCTAATTGAAAATTACATCTATTACACCTACAATAACATTTATTGCAAGTAAATTGTCAAATGAACAATTTTTGACATAATTAAAATAAATTGTGCTTTAACGAAGTGGTTGGAAACTGGAAAAAAAAATTCCAGATATACTTATAATAAGGTACCCCATGGTAATTTGACTGCACTGGTAGATGGTGTTGTCCCCATAGGGGGTCAAATGTCTCTCTATGCTGTTGAACTCCTCTTTAGCTTGTGAGTAGAAGGCACTCTTTAGACAGTCGTACCATGTCGGACCCCCGCTCACTCGTGCGATGGCGCACAAAGACGAAAGGAGGAGAAGGTCTAGAAAAGAAGGGATGCTCAGATGACCGAATGACCGAATGGTCAAAATCTTCAACTAGTCATTGATTTTAAACTGTCCAAATTTAACTGATTTTGAGGATTATTTTGTTTAGATTTCCAACTATATATTTGGACTATTCAACCACGAACAGTTTTTTGAGAACCTCATTAAGCTATAACGAGCCCGACCTCATTGTCGGTTTTTCAAAGGCAGGTTTTTCAATGGTTTTTCATTGTTGGTTTTTCAAAACAAGCAGGTTTTTCAAAGGCGAAAAACGAGGTGATTCACGGCAGTTGATTGTTTGTTGTTTCTTTTTGGCAATTTCTTAAGTTTTTTTTGGAAACGAGGCAACTGACTTAAACAACAACTTTTAAGAAAGAAATGGAATAATATTTTTTGAAAGAATTGCAATAAAAATAGATTGAAACCTTCTTGATCCGATTGTTTTTGTTCAATTGAATCAGATTGGCAAATCTGACAACCGGAAAAACTCGAACAGGTTTTTTAAAGCCGAGAGAACTTTTTTGGTTTTTAAAGACCGGAGTCGCGATTGGCCTGAAATTGTTTTTAATGTACCTGGAATTGTTAAGATTATACCCATACTTGACGATATATCAATGAGTCAAACAGACATGAAAGAGAAAAATGAAAAATTATACTTTTTCTTTAATTGTCGACACTTTTGCCGCAAAAACAGCTAACTTAGTTTTTTGTTCTGAATTTCGAATATTTATACTTTGATTGGTTTTTTTAATTGGTCATTTTTGACTTCTTAACTGAAAAATTTTGACAGAATTTTTGATATCATTTGAAAGATATTGCTTTGCTGAGCTCAAATTCAAACAGTTTTTTCACCTGTGATCTTTTTGTAAAGTTATGGGGTTTGAAAGTTGGCCAATTTGGGATGAGTAACGCGCAAAACTTTGTGTTATTATGACAGGTGCGAGCGGCAGTTTACTCCGTTCCAAATTGAATTTGACCGTATGGTTAGAATACTACAAAGATGAAGAACAGAAATAAATCTATTTGAAGTTTAATTTAGCGGGTCGGTAGTTTGTAGTCTACATTTTTTTCTTTTTTTTTCAATAATTTCGTCATTTTCTTAACTGAAAAACTTATGAATTGGCCTTAAAGGTCAATCGGAACATTCAGGGCTTCACCTTGATGTTTGGTCAGTTTGTTTTGTTTTATAATTTATGAACTTATCTTCAGTTTTAACTTGTCTCCAGTAATAACTTGTATAAAATTTCTCAATAACTTACTTTGAAACTGAAGAATCCCAGCTGATTCAAACTTTTGAATCCAATGGAAACAAAAACCACTAAAAACAGGTTCGTATAGTCATTCCCAAAACAGTTAACTGATTTCGTAGTAAACTGTGTTTGCTACGAAACCAATTTGATAAAATCTGGACGAAAAAATGGTAAAATGTCCTGGCAAAATGATTAAGTAAAATTGTCGAAAAAAATTACGAACCAGCCCTGAGATCCTCCTTCTTGACTTTAAACAAAATTTACTGAAATAAATTTTTAAAAAAATAGTTTTCCTTTTAATTGAAACCATAGTGAACAAATATAAAACTTAAGGATGCAGAGAAAAAACAATTATCTTCCGAAATTGTGATCTTTCTCTTTCAAAATTAACAACATGGTATCAGTAACACGGAAAACTAGGGAAACAAAGACCACATATCCCGGAGCTCTAATTTGCTGACATTTTGTTTTAACAATCATTTTTGTTCTCCTGGCAAACTTTGGCTTTTTAACTTACCGTTTTTATCGTAGTTTTGTTTTCCCTTGCAATAAGCAAGGGTATTGCAATCGGGTAATATAATTTTGTCCGTAAATAACGTTGTTCGCAAAATATTCAAAGTAAGAAATAGTAAAATTAAGTGCAGTTTACAATTAATTCAAACTTCTTTGCCCCTCTATCCTACTTGATTTGGAGATAACAATTACGCCTGGGATTGAAAAGGTCCTACGTTCGAATCTAACAGGACCTGTTTTTTTAACGAAGAATTCCGCTTCAAAAAAATGGCCGGCCAATGATTTGTCTGCTGATGTCTTATTGACTGCGTTACGACATCGTATTATTTGTTTTATTGAACTTATTTTACTGTGTATTGGCTTGTAGAGCTTTGATTTAGTTCTGTTGTTTGTAATTTTTTAATTTTGTATATATATTTTTTGTTTTTGTTTCCGCCTAAAAATTTTATTCTGCCGAATGATTTCGGCTCACACTTTATCGTCTTAGTAGCTTAATTTTGAATCGTATTATTGGGATACATCATTTTTATGCTCACTGGATTGCACAAATTGAGAAAATCTCAAAAAGTATTGTTCAAGTTTTTCATGACATTTTTTTCTGTTTTTTTTTCTTTTTTTTTCGGCTTGATCAGTTCGTTCTATATTATAATGGTTTTGAAAAGGACTGAATCATTTGCGTGCATGTGTTGGGCTATTTGGCACGTATAAAAATTTTTTTCTAATGATTTGCTTTTTACCCTTGCGATAAGCAAGGGTATTACAATCGGGTACTAGATTTTTTCCCGTAAATGTCTTTGTTTACAAAATGTCAAAGTTAGAAAAGCTAACTTTTTGTCTCAGTTCATTTTAGTTTTTTTGCGTCTCCGGCACACTTGGCCTGGAGTTAACAAATACGCCTGGGACGTCAATAGTCTTAGGTTCGAACCTGGCAGAAACGGTTTTTTTTCAGCTGGAAATATTCTGTTTCAAAAAATTGTCGGCTTACGGTTTAACTGCTTATGTTTTGTCAGCTTAGTTGCTCATCGTATAATTGATTTTTTGCTGCACCTATTTTGCATTGTAGTTACTTATAGTGTTTTGATTTACTTCTGCTTTTTGTAACTTCTTGGTTCGTATTTTTTCTTTTTGTTTCTTTTTTCGCTTGAAAAATTTATTCTGCTCAAATGACTTCAGCTTGTTTTGTATCGGCTTAGTGATCTAATTTAAATTCTTTTAAAGGTAATCAAAATTTTTATGATCACTGGAGTGCACGTATTGCTAAGGTTTTTATAGAAATAACAGCTCATTTCAGTCCTCAGTTGAATATGCTTAAAATGCAACAATATAAGTAGCCGATTGCATTTTTACCATCAGTGCCATTTTCAGCTATGCACTTATCAACTACCCCCGATCAAGGTCAACTACTCAAGCAAGTTTAATAATGCTTACAAATAGTTGATATTTGGTCAATTTAAGTTTTTTGAGCTTATGCGACTACTTTTTCATCATGTCGCGTGTGAAAGAAGTCCATAGTTCTAAGACCACAGTGTTTGACAGGCTGCATACCACTTAGCATGCATAGTGCGGATTCTGCGCCGAATGATGGGAAAAATTAACAGCTAGTCGCAATTTATTAATCAAAAATACTGAAAAATTGCAGTTATCTCAGTGAAAAGATAAAATTCAAGGAATTAAATTCAATTAATTTAATGTAAAATGCGCCCAACACCAAAGCAGCACCGAGACACGAATTTTCTTCAGAAAAAAAACTTTTTTGTTTTTTGGGAGGAATTTAATTATATTTTGTCAGATTTATTGGGTCTCTGCATAGGCCGTTATCGAATAGGACATTTTGACGATTCTGGTTAGTTGAAGTCTTATCATTATTTTGTCTTTGTGTCAGTAGTCATGAGAAAAACCTTTTCCTATGTTTCTTTATCAGCATGCCGCAATTTTATTAGAAAAGCGCTCACTAAGAAGTAAGATTTTTTTGCCTAAGCTTGTAATTTTTCGGCAAATTAGTTTTGAGAGTGAATAAGACTACTTAAAAAGCAATTCATTTTTTCGGCTAGATGAGAATTTCAAACAGGACACATGTTATTAGATTTGTCGAGGGGCTGTTCTAGGTTTTCATCAAGGGGGGCTTAGTTTTCATTAAATTTCATTAGGAGGTCAAACTGTGTATTCTGTGAACTTTCTTTAAGCAGTTTCCGAACAGGCTGAAAACAAATTAGCAACGTGGCTACTTTTTGTTTATTGTTTTGCTGTTTTGAATTCCACAAATAAATAGCTGCAACATCTTTCGCTCAAAATTGCCCCAAAATCAGTAAAGTTTGCGGAATCTGAAACAGTTTGCGGAACCTATAAACAAATATGCAGTCATTGCATTAAACACCAGTTTTGCGGGATTCGCATACGTTTGCGGAATCCTCTTACTTTTACGGAATCCGCTAAAATTTGCAGGATCCAGATAACAACTTGTTATATTCGCTCGTTGCCGAATCCGCGAAACAAGTAATGAGCCGACCATTTTTTACGCAATAGGATAATTGTGCGCGGAATTTACGGAATCTTTGTAAGCTTCGAATCCGCTTACAAATTAGAACTTGCTTAAATATATTTTTCTATATTCGAGTGACCCGCAGACACCAAATTGTAAGCCTATCTAGTGCACAGTTTGGCTTCGTAATGCTGGTTTAAGGTCGACCTTTTTTTCAGGTCGACCAAACTGAACTTTCCGGGCTCTATTAAAAACTCCATATTTTTCCTAAAATGTCTGCCTTGTAGTAAATTTTTGAGAAAAAAAGCGGCCAAATTGACGTCTTACCCGCAAAGAATCGTAAAAAGAGAAAATAATCGATTAAATTATAATTATAATTGTACTTTAAGCAAAAATATTATTAATTGTAAGCGCCAATTTTAGATAGTTAAACGATTTGTAATCCATCATAATGATAACATTTTTGGTGACATTTTAATAAATTATAATCAATTATCAGTCATTATAATTTTTCCGAAAATCTCTGATAACCTATTATAATAGATTATAATCCCTTTTTCTATCAAAATATTATCTCATAAAAAATCAATTATAATAGATTACGAATGTAGCTATGCTGTATAAAAGTACAGTACAAAACAAATTTAATGTAAGTTTAAGCTATGAGCAGGGGCGGATCTAGGACTTTCTCGGGGGAGGAGGCGGATTTTCAAAAAATTTTCGAAAATTTTTTTCGACGTTTTTCTTAGGTTGACCAAATTGATTTTATGAGTTCTCCTACCTCACTGTGAAATCCCCATTTTGCTCAATTTTTTTGAGCCGCAGGCAAAATTATGAAAAAAAAACAGGCGAAAAAGGCGTTTTTAGACAATTTTTGGCAATTTTTGATCTAAAAATCGCAATTTTTGGCGCGCTCCCCCCCTCAAAATTAGTAAATATTGGCACCAAAGGCGCCCTTAGAAAGTCACCAAGGCTCCGTCATCAAAAATGGATATCTCAAGATAGTTCAAAGCGATGACACAAAAGTTGAATACTAATGGATTATAATCCATTATAATGGATTACAATTCAATAAAAAGTGAGAAAAAAAATCCAAAAAAATCGATTATAATCGATTATAAACGATTAAAATGATTTTCATTGTTTTGAAAAATAGTAGCATTATAATCCATTTTTAATCGATTATAATCAATTCTTTTTGAAATTTATGGAGACTGACAATAAAAATCCATTAAAATCTATTATTTTATCTTTTTACTGAGTGCGGGTAGGGCAATTTTTGGGAGCTTTCTACCAAATTTTTCGGAAGTCTCAACCTCTCATATTCGAGTTATATGGTGGCACCGAAAGGCGGCTTTAGAAATAGTTTTGGGTTGGCCAACCGAAACTGGGTGTCACGAATTAGTACCGAAGAAGGTGGCATATAAGTAGCGTCTTGATAGCAATTTTTGGTGAACCAAATTTTTGGTTTACAATTTTCGAGGGGACCTCCGTCGAATTACCACTAAATTTGCACTTGGACTGGTTCACCTTTAACTGAAAATACGCTGCCTTGAAACAGAAATTTTTTTTTGTATTACTTACGTAGGATGAAGGAGAAAAGGTTACATTCCACAGATACCATTCCAAAATAAAAATAGGGACAGATGATTGATATTCAGCAAATCAAAGTAGAGAAACTAGACTACGTAGACGTGACTTCAACCATAACGGTGTTGTTGAAATACAGCTAGCAACTTTTGTTATTTTGGCATTAAGTTGCTGGAAATTGTTCTTGATGGGCAATCGTTATGCGTTCAAGGTTGTCTGATTATGATCGATCCAAATAGACATTTCTGTGGCTAAGGAAATATATTAAGGGCGATATTGATATTTTAAAGAAACTTGGTTGGCTATAGTTTAAAAGCAAGATTAACTAACTTTTGATAAGAATTTGTACACCAACTTGATGTGAAACAAACATTATAGTCGTACCATTTCGGCGTGAAAATTTAACTTCAATCAAACTCTGATTGTCAAACTTTGCGATTTAACTCATTTATAAATTCTTACCATATGGTACGACAAATTATAAAATACGTGATCTTAATAGCCAATGTACAAAATCACCAGAAGCGAATTGAGATGAAGGTTTCAAAACTACGTGGTTCTACTATATGCGGGTTCGTTTCGTTCCAAATCATACTTTTTGATCTTAAATCACTAATGCAGTTAAGACCTTAACCCCTAGCTTTACCTATGCCGAGTTTCACATCATTTAAAGTTTTAGTATAATGCATAACGATTGTCGTCAATATAGAACTATTACATATGGTAATTCTTTTGTTTTCAGTATCAAATAAAGTAAAATAGTTACCAATAAATTACGAAAATGCAAGTTATGATTATGGCTGTTAGACAAAAATTTTTTCTGAAAAATTATAAGTCCGTTTTTTGAAGTAAAAATTCAGATAAATTGCAAGTAATAGGAATTTTGAAAGTGAAAAAATATAATATTTTAAATTTAGAAACACTTTTCATCAAACAATTGAACCTTAACCTTTTGTTGTGTTGTTGAACAAACGTCTGATCATGTGAATTTAAACTTCAAAGGGGAATTGGGATTTATCTCGAGCCCTCTAAATCACATGTCATGTTTGCATGTGCGACGTCTGCCTATGATATAATTGAAAACTCTACTAAGGGTTTATTTGAATTCAGAAATTGGACACTCATTAATGTTGGCGAACTGTCAATACATGCTTGGACGACCTAAGAAGGTCAACATATCATTACATAAGGGCATAAATGGAAAGGGGTGGATTTGAATGGTGGGGGTTTATGCTTTGGATAATTCTCTTGAGGAGTTCGAACCCCCTTACCACGGAGAACCTATCCTCGTTAGACCCTAGACACATGTATTGGAAACCTATCGAAATCGGCTCTTCGAAGTCGGCCAGACTAAACTATTCATTAGGATGTATAGTTTGATTGGGCTGTTTGACCGGAACCTTTCTTGTCAGTGTCCTAATTGTTTTTTTTGAAAAGGTTCCACAAGGTTGTCAAGCTCATATCATGTATTTTGGTCGTCAAAATTATTTTTCACGACTCTCGCCAAAAATTTAACACACATCATCGAGGCAAAACTATTGCGTCCCTAGCAAAAAAACCCAAAAAAAAACTACCCAAAAAAACCTCTTTGGAAGGTTCAAGGTTTTGAATTGAAAAATGCAGTTTTTGACCACATGGCTGAGATAAAAAAAAAGTACCAGCTCTCAAAAAACGCCATGAAAAGTACACACCAACCAAAACCTGCAAATCTGTGAATTTTATTTGAGTCTTTTGGGAAAACACTTAATACATGTAGTGAGTCTTATTAATGGTAATAACTTTAAAGTCTGCTCCAGAGAATTTATTCAACCCGTTATTAAATTCGCTGGGGATATTCCTCTTATGGGGCCGAAAGAAGCTCCACACTTGAAAAGTAAGCGCAAAAATTAACTGTGCTGGTTAGCTAATTTAATTTTGAAATAGAAAAACAGAAAAAAAACCGCAAAGCCACGTTGACTGAGAGTTATTGCAATTGCGAATAGAATTCAAATAGCCATGTTTGTCGCAACTTCAAAACGGGTACAAAAATGTTGTGTTTTTATAAATTTATCGAAAAAAGTATTTAGAACTTTTTGGTTTGACCAAAAACTTCTTGGTATTTAATCTCATTTTGCTTCAGTTCTTATAAGTAATACCTCTACTATGCTAGGTAACGATGAAAATTATTAAATTCGCAACAATTGTTGTTTAAAATTTAAGCTAATTTTTTGGGTTCTCCTTAAGATCTTAGAAATCTTTCAAAATATTGGAGAATCTTCAAACACTCTTGAAAAACTTTGAAGATCTTTCCGCAAATTTCACAAAATTTTCAAAATTGCTTAATGAGCCGCAGAGCCATCATTGAAGTTTTTGAAGATGTTGTAAAGATTTTTCAATTGTTTCAAATCTGTGATAACTCAGGGAACTTCCCATAGCTCAAAGATTGTAAGACTAATTAGAGGTCTAAGAATTTAATTGAGAACGATCTTTCTATTCTTTTTCTAAGCTCAGATCTACTGGCTTTGACCCATAGCTTTGTATGGTAGAATGAATTTGCAGTCATTCTCTTTTCAGGTTAGCTCTTCTGGCCTTTAAATTAGTAGTAGCCCAATCAAGGTCACTGCAACGGCAGCACCAATTTACCTGGAGACCAGGAACAATTTTCTCGAAAAAAAACTATAAAATTTTATAACACTTGGGAGCTCTAGTACTCAGTTTAACAAAGTTATTTTGGACACGCTTTTTTTCGGCAGTTTTCTCTTCACTTTCTCTAAAAGACTATTCTCATTCATTTAATATATAGCGGTACTCTCTATGCTGCATTCTATGACCTCGTCATGTCTAATGAAACGCATCCTAACTTTCGCAAGAATAAGTGTCGCTGTAATGGTGTCAAACGCGTGTCCGTGGGATTTTCGGTTTTCGTCTTAAATGTTGCTAGTTTTAAGCGACCTGCCTTTCATGCAGCTTTATTCAAATCTGTGACATTAAAATCGTAACTTTTCTCCTTTAGCGGGTCCTTAATGGAATCCCCAAATCGTTTTGTCCCTGATTTTTGGTAGCCCCATGGCTACGTCGCATCTTTGGTTTTGTATCTTTATCTTTGTTAGATTCGTCTCAAATCACAGGTGGAGTGTCGGAATGGTTTCCCTCGACTCCTCAGACGTTCAATTGCTCGCAAATATTCTTCCAGCGGTTTTTTGGACCCTCGGGTCAAGACTTGATCCGTTAACCTGTCCCATTCTTCAAGAGCCATATCTTTAAGACTAGTCACTGGCTATGATTTTTTATCGATCTTTTTCAGTTATTTAGGTTTACCAGACTTTTTTTGTTGTCGAAGTGCTTGGTTTATCCGCATTTTTGGTAGATTGTGAATCGATTCTCGCGAATTTTGTTTTCTTGCTGCATCTGCAGCTTAACTTTTCCTAGCTTCCAGTGCAGTGGGCCTCCTTCCTTTGCTTTGTTTTCCACTTCTTCTGGCGTTCGCGGTACAATCACACGTGGGCCTGCAATATTGGTCTTCGCTCTTTTGATGGACAAAGTAGACCCCACTCAACTCCGTATCTTTAGACGTGACTACCGATGGGCTTTTCTAAAGTTGATTCTGTACAATTTCTTTGATTTTTGCATTCTGCTGTTGCAACGTCTCACCCTCTGAGTCACTGTTCAGTTTTAAGATTCAAATTCTTTTGTCTGTCTGATTCTTGGGTATTGGTTCATCCGATGGGCTTTTCCAGAGGTTTTTACTCGCTATTGTTTGCTTTTCTTTATCTTCAACGGGACAGTCACTCAATTGGTGAGATGCTGCAACGTTTTTCTATCTTCGTCTGTTTCCCTAGGCTAAATTGCATTTTCGATACTGTCTTAGCAGTCGATGGAAATTCTGAAGTTATTGTACCTTTGAGTGGCTTTGTTAGTACTTTCCCATTTTTCGCTTTTTATCCATAAGTAAAACATTCGGAAGAGATTCACTCTTGGAGCATCTTGTTTGTCGTTGTTGAAACCCTTCTCCCAAGGATATTAATAGTTTTTGAGCGGTTTTTGAGCGGTTTTTTTAGATGAACCTCTCAAAACCGTTCAAATCTTGCGCGGTTTTTGAGGGTTTTTTTTAGATAAACCGTTCAAAAACCGCTCAAACCGCTCATTTTGAAGCAAGATTTTGAGCGTAATTGTCTAAAAAAACCGCTCAAACCGCTCAAATCTTGCTTCAAATTAGGGGAAAAATCTCGACTCGGGTTGCATCTCATTGCTGAGTCTGGATTAAACGAGCTCGTATCGTCCACTTTTCGTCGGTTATCATTTTATACCATGTCTCTCCTCTCCTCTTTCCGTCTTGCATTGGCTACGAGCCTACGTTGTAGCGTGCAAGCGCAGTCCTTACCTCACGATGACTACTTTCTCGGCTGTTTCGTACCTTTCTAACTATTTGATTTTCTCCCACAGCTGGTTAATGCAACTTTTCAACTGTTCCACCGTGGGAGCGTTTTGTTCAAAACGCTGTTTATCTAATCAATTAGTTTTAGGCAAAAGTTTTTCTCTTCAGATCTTAAAATCAGTTTTAGTGAGCCAATTGTTTTTCAATTATTCCCGTATGATTGTACTGAGACTTAACATTATCAATTTGGCATTTCAGTGCAATAGCATGAAACAGAGATCTTATTTTCAAGGCTTGTATTGTTCTTTCGACCAAACTTCATCCTCGGTGGTCGCCCATTGGAGAAAGATTTTAATTAAGGCCATGTTCGATTTAAAAAAATCATCGTTTTACCTTAAAACGCTTTGATCGGGCTTTTAAATTGATTTCTGTTTTGCACGGGTGCCGACAGAAGTGCGTGGAAATTTTATCGAGGATTTACCCTCCGTCGATTTCGTGCTTTTCTTACTGAAGAAAAATTGAGTACCGATCAATTGTAACAAAAAGGTAAGTTTTTTCCTTCATGATCTTCAAATTATCTTGCGTAACCTAGTGTCGACTCTCAGGAACAGCTGAAAGAGCAGTGGTAAAAAGTTTGTAGAAAAATTTTTTAGGGGGCATTTAGCTTTGTTACCATATCCAATGCAGCTTCTGCACTATTCTACCAAGTTAACAATATCCTTGCACATATGAAGCCATCACAAATATTTGGAGAAATCCAGCTTGGTTTCTCGTATTATTTTCATCACCGCCGGCCTCAGCAGTCCAGGTACTGCCAACCGTCAGTTATTGCCATTTATTGCCATATAGCCGATCCATTCACGCATCCTCCGAAAACAAGTCGGCCAGTTAAAACTTTCTTATCAATTGCGTCTAATTGGCTAATTGAAAAATCACTTGTGACCGAGCTGCTCTGATAACTTGAATTGAACTCTTCCAGGCAGATGGCTCACCCACTTTCCTGGCTGAACTCACTCACCACGGGGATGCAATCGTTGTCATCCTTCGTAATTCCACTTCAACGATGTTTGATGA